CTCAGGCCTCGCCCCTAGATTCCTGGAAGCCGTTTTCATGGGACAGCAATGACAGCCTTCACTCACCTCACACCTACCTTGATCCCTTCTGCTCACTGGCTGGTCATTAAAAACATGAGTCAGGGCTGGGGATATAGCCCAGTGGTGGAACACTGTTATAGCACACACTTGCCTAGCACACACTAGCCCTGTGTTCCACCCAGCAAGGAAAATACACACATACAATAATTAAACAAATAAACAACACAAGTCAGATCACACCAGTTCTGGGCACAATGTGCTCCCAGGCTCTCAGGCAGAGGCATCAGAGCTCCATGAGCCCACAGGTCTGACCATGTGTACCTGGCCTCAAGCTCTCCACCCCAGGCTGCTTCCTATGGCTCTGCTCTGAGATGGTTCCCTCTCCTCCACCCCCACCCTCTCTCTCACCAGCTTGATTATTACCTGGCAGACATGCTAACACTAACCTAGCGTGACTGCCAGGCCTTACATTGGACTCTGATGGCAGAGACACTGTCACTGTCCCTTGCCTTGCCACAGTGTCCCTGTGACCCAGAATGGGCCAAGGAGGTTTAAATGTGCCCGGGAGGACAAGGTGTTGTTTTTGCCTCTTCTCTGAACGTATACGTAAAACCTGCTGGCTCTGCTGGCTCGGATCTCTCATTTCAGCTGCTCAGGAGGCTGGATTTGAAAGTTCAAGGTTTGCCTGGGCTACAGAATTCTTGCAAGGCCAGCCAGCACTCCATGGCCAGACCATGTGTCAGAATAAAAACAGAAGGAGGTCTGAGGATGCAGCTCAGGGAGTGACTGAGGAATTTCTCGGGAGACCCCGGGCTCCATCCCTGTGGGTCAGGAGGCAGTTTCCATGGTTCCTCAAAACTGTCTTGTTTCATTCTCCAGCAGGGCACAAGGGCAGACAGACAGACAGCTCAGCCAGCCATGCTTGCTCCACGTTGTGCTCCCTAGGAGTCCGGGGCCAGCGTCTCTTTACCACCGTGAAGCTCAAACCTGCAGCTACTTTAGGGCTGCGGGGGGCGTGGTTCAGTGGGTAAAGGACTTGCTGTGCAGACATGAGGACCAGATTTGATCTCCCAGAACCCGAATGAAAACGCCAGGCATGGTGGCACTTGCTTAGAATCCAGTGCTGGGGCAGTGGAGACAGCCAGACCCCCGGGGCCAGATAGCCAGCAAGCCTAGCCAAATTGGGAAGACTTGTCTCAAAATACAAGGTACAGGGTCCAGAGGACTGACACCTAAGGCTGACTCCTCTGGCCTCTACACACACACACACACACACACACACACACACACACACACACACACACACACACACACACCTGCAGCTTTGGCTCAACTTTCAGTTTCTAACCATCAGTCAGAAAGGGCAAACGTTGTCCATGTCATTGATGCTTCACCACAGACAAGTCTCCAAGACTTAAAACACACTAGAAAAGAAAATCTGTCAAAAGGTATAGAATCGCTGGTTATGGTGGCCCATGCCTTTAATACCAGCACTCAGGTAGATCTCTGTGAGTTCAAGGCCAGCTTGGTCTATAGAGTGAGTTCCAGGACAGCCAGGGTTGTTCCACAGAGAAACCTTGTCTCAAAAAAAACCAAGAAAAAAAAAAAAGAAAGAAAAGAAAAGAAGAAGAAAAAAAGCGTGTAGACTCTTCCAACAAAATCAAACATTTGTTTAAACAGTAATTCCCCCCACTGAGTGGGGTGTGAGCCCTCTCCTACTGTTCAGTCACGAGGGTTGACTGCAGAGTGAAGTAAAGCTCAATATTGACTCAAGGCCCTGTGTACAGTCAGTAACTCACTACCACCGTCAGCAAACAATACAGTCAAACACAACTGCTGAAGCCATGTTGCTACACTCCACAGTCAGAGTGAGAAGGTAAAGCCTCCTACACTGGAGGGAATTCTAAAATACCTCATTTGTCCACTAAACAGATAAAACAGACATCAAGGACAGAGTCCTGTGTGTCTCATCGTCATTTGAACACTGTAGGCCACATTCAAATATCTCTTTTCATTCTAATTAAGTAATTATAATTATGGTGATATCACAACAAATCCTTGGCCAAGCTAGAGTCTGGCCAACTAATCCATTTAAAGTGCTTTTTTATTTAAAGTTTTTTAGTGTTTTGAGACAAGGTCTTACATAGCCCAAGCTGGCTTCAATCTCAGCATGTATCTTAGGATAACCTTAAACTTCTGATCCTCCAGCTTCCACCTTCTGAGTACAGTAATCACAAGAATTTGCCACATGCCCAGTTTCTGGGGTGCTGAGGATGGAGCCCCATGCTAGGAAAGCACTCTAGGAACTGAGCTCTATCTGCTGCTTACAACGGCAACATTTTAAAATAAAGGAAGCCTCTTCTGTCTTTGAAGAGATTTAAAAACACCCTAGGGTGTGGGGCTGTTTGTTCTAAGGGCAAAAGATTTCCAAAAGCTAACTTAGGAGGGAGTTGCCTCCAAAGTACAAAGTGTCTCCCAGACATGCAGCAGTCTCACGTTGGCCGGTGTCAACAGAAACCATTTAACTTATTTTAGAACGATTTCCAAGTATTAGGAATTCTTTAAAGGTTCACCTTTTATGTGAAAGAGTGTATATGCAAGGCTTCCCATGCCCTCCTGTGCTTTAATCACTCCTGACAGACATAAACTGCTTGTGATAAACTGCTGGTGAACATGTGGTGTGGCCCTCAAGATGCCCCGAGCCAGGACTAGCGACATAGCCCAAACAGTAAAACATTTGCTTGTGATCATGTGTGCCTAAGAGAGAGTCCGAGAACCCATGTGCAAAAAGCTTCGAATGCTGGTGCATGCCTGTAATCCCAGCACAGGGAAAGAAACGGATGGAATCTTGAGGCTCACTAGCCAGTCAGCCTAGTCTAGTATAAGCAAGTTTCTAGATCAGAGATCCTGTCTCAGTCAAAAGGTAAAAGGTACTGGAGGAATGAAAAAAGTCCCCAGGCTGTCCTCTGGTCTCCACATGTGTGTGCTTGCAACTGCATACTCAAATAAAGAACCATCCACCAAACCAGACTGGGTACAATGCAGGAGCAGTAGCTACAGCCTTGTACCTTTGGTGCGAGGATTGATGCATCTTGAGCATTAATTTGGACAGAATTAACTTGCAGAATACCAGGTTCTGGGTTATCATGGAGCTCCTGCAGAGGAGAGGATAGTATGATGCACTATTATTGTTCTGCAGAGGCCCTCCAGGGTCAGGCTGGGGTCTTACCTTGTTCTGTGGCAGCAGGCTACATACATATTGCTCTCAATGACAACATACTTCAGGAACTAAGAACGGTTGATAGTAGTAACTATGAAGTATGTATATAAATAAGCTCCTTGAAGATCATGCTGTTATGCAGGAGAACGGCTTAGTCAGTAAAGTGTCTGCTGTAAGTGCAAGGACAGGACCTGAGTTCCATCTTCAGAACCCACAAGAGTGTGGCAGCACACTCTTATGACCCCAGCAGTGGGGAGGCCGAGACGGGAGAGTTCATGGGGCTCCATGGGTCAGCCAGCCTAGCCAAACCTGGTGAATTCCAGGGACATGAAAGACTCTATCCCAGTAAAAAGGTGTAAGGCACCTAAGAAAGGACACTCAAGGTTTACTTCAGGCCTTCACATGCAGGAGCACACACATGCACCCACTCACACATGTGCACCTGGATATACATAAATACACACACATGAGATAAAGACATGTTGCACATTAGTATGACACAGTTCTTAAAGCGAACCACTCCAGGGACCTTCATACAGTCAGCTGAGACACACAATGACCACCATCACTTCTTCACGACATGCTTCCTTAGACTCCCTACTCATCACTGGAACAGCTGAGACCTAAATTAGATAGGCTGGGAGAAGAGATTGAGGGCCATTCAATGCTCATGCATAGCTACAACATTCAACTTATTCATAATTTGCATAACGGACAGAGTATGTTTGTAACTCTCAAATACATTTCTATACTGAAGGATTTGATAGCAAAAGAAAATCCGTGCTAGCATATAAGGAAAGTACCATTCATTCCCCTGGCTACTGTCTTTCTGCAGAAGACACTGATGTCCTTCCAGCTAGCACCTGTCCCAACAGGTTTCAGAGGTCTGATGGGCATGCAACACTGGCTGGTCAGCAACAGCTCTGGTTGAATCCTTTAGTCTTGCAAGAGATTCCATTTCACTCTAGGAAGGGAAGGCTCTTCATTAGGGAAAAAGCAACCTCAAACAGCAATCCTCTAGCTCGCTTACACAGCAAATCTTAGTAGGGTTTGTGTTTAGATCACATGCCAGCTCTCTGCTAACATCTGGGAAATCCACTCTGACTTATAGATAAGGTAACTGACACCAATCAGATATTTCAGGTTTCCAGTAGAGTACAGGATCCATGCACTTGTTCTCAGCCCAGATGGGCGCTTCCAATTTGCAGAAAAGATTCCTCCAAACAACAGTAAGGTCATGTTTCATATACAGAGACATCTGAGTGGTAAGGTTTTGGGGAAGCCCAAAGGACAAGAAGCCATGTTCACGGTGAGATGATATGGGGGCAAAGCACCCCAAGGGAGTGCCTGCTTGGAATGCATTAAGTCCTATGTTTGCAGCGTGTACCAGAAAAAGGAATTAGAAACTTGTAAAGTGGAAGGAAATGGGGAGGGGGGTTGATGACGGATAGCAGGCTAGACATACTCGGCTTAAGGTCAGGGCCGGCAAAGTCCTGTGCAAACGAATTGGGAGACCTACACAGACATATAAACACTCGCTGGGGTTTCCTGCGGGTCCAGAGAGTAACATGAATTTACCTACGAGCAAGCCGGTCCCTGTCTTTTAAAAAGATGCCCAAGGGTAATAACGCCAGGGTGAGCACAAACCGACCTAAAACAAGTTAATCAGGGCCTGTCTTCTGGCTCTCAGAGTCCTGGGCAGACCAGACCCCTCTCTTTGCTCCTGGCACCCCCTTCCCTTGAGTCTAGCCTCACTTACTGTTGCTGGACTTGAGGTCGCGGTGCAGAATAGGCACCACAGCCTCTTCGTGCAGGTAGAGCATACCGCGGGCAATCTGCACCGCCCAGTTGACCAGCACGTGCGGGGGGATGCGGCGTGCGCGGCGGTGGCCTGGAGCTCGGGGATCTGGTGCGGCGGCTGCCAGCGCGCGGTTGAGCGCCCCGCCGCGCGCGAACTCCAGCACCAGGCAGAGGTGCGGCTGCTGTAGGCACACACCCCGCAGCTGGATGATGTTGGGGTGCCGCAGCATGGCGAAGAGCCGCGCCTCGCGTCGTACGCTCTCGGCCGCGGCCGCCGCGTCCTGCTCAGGGTCCCGGCGTGCCGCCTTCACCGCCACCTCCTGGCCCTGCCAAGTGGCGCGGTACACCTGGCCGAAGCCGCCGGCGCCGATCAGCTCCTTGAGCTCCAGGCGCTCGAAGTCCACATGCACCGGTGAGCAGGGCTGCGGCAGGGGTGGCGCAGGCGGCGGCACCGGGCCACACGGCGCCACGTAGCTGGCGGGAAAGATGCCCAGGCGTCTCTGCACTTGGCCGGCCCACCAGCCCTCGTCGCCTGACACCGCCGCGTCCTGGGACAGCACCTCCACCAGCTGGCCGCGCCTCAGGCTCAGCTCGTCCTCGCCGCGCGCATCGTAGTCATAAAGTGCGGCCCACATCCCGGAGGAGGAGCACCCCGAGTCGCCCCGGGCTGGGGACCGTGGCGTGTCTGCCGTGCCCTCGGCTCCAGGCAGTGCCATAGGGGCGATTGAGAGGTCGCTGGTGGACCAAGAGCCCTAGCCACCACCTCAGCTTCCCTGGCCTCCAACGGTGCGCTTCATCGGTCCAAGCCAACAGGGAAGGGGTGCAGGGATTGAGCGGGACAACAGAGGTCACGCCCACTGCCCGAGGGCTTTGGCCTCAGCTCTGCCCCTTGTTTGGCTAGCTCTTTCCTTCTGCCGCTGGTGCAGATGCCGGGTGGCGGTGCTGGGCCTGCCGTGGACTCCCGCGCGCTCCCCAGTAGACGCCCCCCAGCCCCGCCTCCTTCGGCGACTCGGTCCTCCAGGTTCCCCCTGGCACCAACCCTGTCTCCGCCGAGTTCGTCACCCCTGGTATCCACCCTCCAGGTCCTTTAGTCCCGCCCTAGTGCCCGTCCCGCCCTCCGGGTTCTTTAGCCCCTGGAACTAGCTCAGGAGCCTGACCTGAACCCGCCTCCTGGACCTGATACGCCCCCTATATATCCATTCCGCCAAGTGGACACTTCTGTCCCTGCAATTCTGCTCTCCGGGACCGGGTCCTCCCTCTAAGCTTCCCTGGTTCCACCCCTGGTGCCCGCCCTTTCTTTCCAATTTCATTCTCCAAGTTCATTGGTGCCCCTGGATCCACCCCTCCAGGTCATTAGCCCCTCCCTGGTGCCCACCCTTCCCAAGTTCATTCTCCAAGTTCATTGGCGCTCCTGGAGCCACACCTCAAGGTTCATTTACCTCGCCCTGGTGCCTGCCTTCTCGGCTCTTCCCTCCACTCTGAGTTCATGAGTAACCCTGAATCTTCACCCGGGAGCCACCCTGTGTACAGGTCCTTTAGGGGTCTGGACATGGCCGGCGAGCGCCTGTCTCCGGGATCTGCCCAACCCGCTCCAAGTCTATTACGGTCCTCTGGATCACTCCCAAGTCTATTACGGTCCTCTAGATCACTCGGTCCCCTCTACCGTCCTTCAAGGCCCGCACCTGCTTCTAAGTCCATTATGACCCCGCCTCCAGACTGTCATTCTTTACGCGTCCATTTGTGTCTTACTCTGAGCCCGCCCTCCAGCGTCCCCGCCGCGCTCCGGGGCCTAGGAAAGCCGCGCTCACGTGGCCCGGAGGGCGGAGCAAGCCTGGGACCTCTTAGAGCTTTCCCGAGAGTTAAAGAGATCTTGATGCATAAGAAGCTCCGCTGTGAAAAGAGGAAGATAAAGAGAAGAGGATCCTTGCACTCCAGATGTAAAGTGACAGACCATCCTAGCAACAGATGCTCCTCTCTGGGCCAGGAATGCTTGGTCTCACCAGGCTGCAAGCATGGAAAGTCTCCAGATGCCCGAGTGCGGTGAGCCACAGTGGCATAACCCCAAAAGCTGATGCGTCCCTGTGCCTGCAGCACTCCGGTGTCAGGGATCCCCAGGTCGCACCTAGCTGGGTGCACCCACCGGCTCCCTTGTAGGCTACCGTTAAATTTCACACCCGAGAGGAGCGGCTGAGGTGCCTATTTAACATGTCAAAGCGGACACTGGCAGCCAGGTTCTCCGGGCGTCCCTCAGTCCCTACCTGCTACAGGGTCCTCCTGACTTGCCTACCCCACCTCCTACCCTGAATTCTCTAGCCCAGGGATGTGGCTACGCTTCCCTATACAGTCCAGACATTTTGGTTACCCACACTTTTGTACCTTTGGCCTCCTGGCTTCTGCACCTGGTTCCCTCTTTTCCCCCCTTCCTTCCCCTCTCCCACGCGGCCCAGCTCAGTCTGGTCATGTCCATTCTGGACTCTCCCACATGTCTCTGCCTCTGACTATGCTCTGCTGCATATCTATAATAAACTTTCTCCTCCACCATACCTAGGAGCCGTCGTGTCCTTTCCTTTTTATCTATTTTTTCATTCAGCTGCCTTAGCGGTCCCTGTGAGCTACAGGTTGCCAGGGTGCTGCAACCGATGAAGCTTAAAACAAATAGAGAATACAGCTACAAAATCATCCCAAGAAATCAACACAATGTACTAAGCCGGGCCTTCCAGACCAGTGACAAAGAAGGATGAGCCTAATGTTAAAACCTACAAGGAGGTTTGTATTGTTTCTGCCTCTCTGGTCTGGTTTGTCTGCTTGTTTGTTTTGGGTGTCTGAATTTGCTCATTTGTAAAATGTTAACGGCAGTGAGTGATGTTTTCTTCATGGGGTGGCCGAAGAGCCTGGAGGGTGCTTACTGTTTATTAATTCTCAAATAGTGCTTGGTACCAATATTAATACTCCTTTTTTGAGGCAAGGTTTTGTCATGTAGCCCCTTCTGGCCTTGTACACACTTTAGAACACAGGTTGGCCTGGGACTCAGAGCCATGCTTTAGCCTCAGCCTCCTGAATGCTGGGGTTATAAGTGTGAGCTGGCAGCCAAGTTCAGCATTTCCTAATAGAGCAAGCAGATGTCTGCCAGGGCCCCCTTCACAAACACATTTTCTAGCTTTTCTATTATTTTTATGAATATACTTTTTAGAGTGTGTGTGTGTGTGTGTGTGTGTGTGTGTGTGTGTGTGTGTGGTGCACATGTGTGCCCAGGTGCAGAGACTGAAAGAAGGCATCTGATATCACCTTTCTGCATCCTATGCCTGGGAGATAAAACCTCTCACTGAACCTGGAGCTAAGTTGGCAGTCAGTGAGTCCCAGGGATGCTCTCATCGCCCCATGATGCACTGGTGTTACAGAGATGGCTACACCAGGCATTTTATCTGGTCCTGGGAATTCAAACTCAAGTCTTCCTGACTTCTTTCGTCACAAGTGCTTTTACCCACTGAGTCATCTCTTCAGCCCTAACTTTTCTGTTTTTCTAATATTCACACTGCAATTGCCTTCTGCCTCTGACAAGCAATATGGATTTTCATCTACAAGCGGTGAAGTCAAGACTCATGTGATGAAGCTGAGAGTGAATCACCCTAAAAGAAAAGGATTGTGGAAACTCCATTGGCACAAGGATAGAGCGAAATCACCAGGACAGAAGTCTGATGGCAAAGACTTCCATGAAAAGACTTAGGGGTGCAGGCTACGAAGTGACTTCACCCTCCTCTGCAGCCCACTTCCGCTTCAGTTTCTGGTCTGATAGGAACTCCATGGGTCATTACAGCTAAGAGCTTCTGTCATGGACTCTCACACTACTCAGAGAGGAGCCAGGGTCCTGCAGAGGAAGAGGAGGGAATGTTGCCAGCGGAGGGAGAGCTTAAAGTCTAAAATCTCAGCTTCTGTGGGGTTGGGAAGATGGTTCAGCAGTTAAAAATGCTGGCTGCTCTTCCAGAGGATGTGAGTTGGTTTCCCAACACTCCCATGGCGGCTCACAACAGCCTGTAACTCCAGTTCTAGGGATCTGATGCCCTCTTATGGCCTCCATGGGTACTGCATGCACGTGGTGCATATACACTTAGGCACACAGGCATGAACATAAATAAATATTAAAAATAAGAAAAAAAACCTGCTTCTGTAGTGCGCAAGGAGTGTAGTGTTATGGGGGGAAAACCAAATACACAAGAGATGAACTGGTCCTGGAGGCACACTGGTCCTGCAGTCCCAGCCCTTGGGAGGTAGGGGCAGGAGGATCATGAGTTCCAGGCTAGTGTAGGCTACACGGAGAGACTTGGTCTCAAAAACACAAACCAAGAACTGCAGGGGTTAGGAAATGGAGACAGTGAAAATTCATTGTCCTTGACTTTGGGATCTGAGAGGGTCAACACAGGCCTGAGGAAATAACTCCAAAGATAAACACGGGTCTTGAGGGTCACAGGAGGTTGTAAAGCAGTGAACACAGGGTGTCAGTGATAAGGGGTGTCACATATGTGTTGACCTGCCCTGGGCTCCTAGTCACAGAACAGTCAGCACTGACACTCCAGGAGAGCTGGCCACCCCCAAAACAGGTTTCTAATGGGACAGAGGAGCTTGAGTGGGACCTGGGGGGAGGGGTAGGGTGGATGAGAGACAAAAAGAGAACCCAAACAGAGGCAACCCGGAAACATGCTGTGGCCAGCCCTGATGCCCCTCAATGACAGGGACTGATGCTTGCCCGAGAAGAGCCCAGGAGGAAACCAGAGCACAGATGACCTTAAGGCTGAGTCTGTATTCGAATTTCAGGCGGAACTTGAAGCCAGAGAAGGCCAAGGAATAAGAAACATATTTCCTCAAGACCTGGGGGCAGGGGGGGAGTGTGGTTGGTATATTGTGCATCCCAATAAACTTATCTGGGGGTCAGAGAACAGAATAGCCACTATATTAAACATAGCA